TAGTACTGCTTAGGTACTGTCAGCAGCAACACCCAGAATGCACAGGCCACGGTCGTACACTCCAGGGGGTCCTGACTTGTTTCTCTATGCACCTGAACCCCACAGCGTATCAAACACTGGACAGGACTCAGGTGTGTGAACTGGTGTCTTCTCCACCAGATGGCAGAGAACAGAGCAAAATGTGAAAAATGCCTCTCTTCACAACTGCATTTTTTAAAAAGTTACTTTTCATTTAGAATAACTATACTAACATGAACTGGTTTTTGGGTGAAAAGACCCTGTCTTAACCTCTAACATGGTACATGTCAAGGGCTTCAGTCTTCTTAAAAGCCCTCTGGGGCCCTTGATCACCCTGAGTGTAAAGCAGCACCGAGACCAGGACTTTCAGAACTGCGACTGCAAGCAGCTAACCTGAAGGACACATGTGGCTGACCTGTCCCCACACCTCCGTCTCTGAGATGGGTCACAGGGTACCCATGCCCCGAAGCCAATTCATAGCACAACATGAACACTGTGTAAAGTGAAAATATTCATTAAATTTCACAATTCCAGACACAAGCTGGGGATGTAGCACCGTGGCAGGGGGCTGGCCCAGCATAGGGCAGGCCCTGGGTTCCAGCCCCAGCACAGCCAAAAAGAGAGGGAAAAAGATCACACCCAAGTGCAATCAGTGCCTCCTCCCGGGGTCTGAGTAGCACCTCCTTCCTGAGCTTCTCCAATCTGCGGGTGTCCTGCCGCATGGAGTCGATCTTCTGCATGGCCACCTCCATCTCCTCCTCCTTGTCCCGGAGGTGCCTCGACACCTTCTGCTTCTGGGAGCGGAGCTCCGCCATGCGCTCATTGAGCTCTGAAAACTCCTGCAGGGCACGCTTTCGTTGCTGATGGGCATCTTTGAGTTCTTTGGTCTGGGATTTCAATCGTTCTGAAACTTCAACCAATTGCTGAATGAAAAGAATTATAGATGTTTTACGCGCTTAGTAAGGATATGGAAAGACAGCAGTTCAATCTTCTGCTGAGTTCAGAGCAAAGGCCGCCAGACTGTGGCCAGAGAGCCCAGAACGCACTTTCCTGAGAAAGCCCCTTGCTCCAGCCTGAGCCACAGTGCAGCCTGCACAAAGCACCACTACACACAGGACAGAGCACAGAATGCTGAGCACTCAGGACCTGTGGCTCCAAGTCTCATCTACATGATCAGAGGCAGACAGAGCAGGGTTCTGGGCAGATCACCTTGCTGCTACTGAGGCACACTGGAAAAAACGCACATGTGACCCTGCATCTTAGTGACTAGACAGGTCTGAAAAGGGGGAGCGATTCTGTGGTATGATCAATGCCCTCACGGGAACCAGATGGCTCCACTGTTAGCAGGTACAGCACGGCACTCTCATGGGACCCGTGACATACAGTACCCACGACTGGGCACATACTTCTGATTTAAATCAGAGTACAGAAGAGTAAATCAATTGCTACAGGAACCTGTCAGGAGTGTTGAGGAAAAGACGTCCCTCCAGGCAGGCACAGCTTGGCCTTGCCACTGGCTACACTTACTGCTCTCATCTACCATCTGGCTGGTCAGTGCCTGCAGTTGGGTGACAATCTGTATGGTCACTGTCATGCCACTGGTGTGATGCTGGAGGTGACATGGCTTGGAACATGGCAGTTCTAGCAACAGGAAGGCTAGGGCGTCCACCAGGCCACTCTGGTTGGTTCAGGGGAATTACTGTGATTAGATGGCAGCAAGGAGAGGCCACATGTCCCCACTTTGTACCTGGGCAAGTCACAACAGGTAGGACCACACCACACATGGCCTTCACACCTCAGGCTGGACAGCCCACATATTTGAGATGACTGATAACAGAGTACATACTCCAGATTTAAGTGTATGTTAGAAAGCGTAGTCCAAATTGTGGTATCAACCCATGAAGCATGAAGTGTGAGATGTTCTTTAAAATCAAGTTGATGACAGCCGGGCAGGGTGGCGCACACCTGTAGTCCCAGCACTCACAAGGCTGAGGCAGGAGAATCGCTGTGAGTTTAAGACCAGCCTGAGCTACATAGTGAGTTCCAGGTCAGGCTCAACTACATAGTGAGACCCTGTCTCAAAAAACCAAAAAAAATAAAATAAAAAAATCAAGTTGATGAAAGAGTTATGGGGGACGCCCCTATTTCAACACCCCCTCTTTGGAGCGACTTGTCATAACCCAGGAGGCCCTTCGGGGAGAAATGTGAGGGGGTGGGGAGGGAGGACTCTGGCCCCTACTCCCTTGGTCACTGTGGATGATGTCACATGCTCTGGATCGCACCCCTTGCTCAGGATGGGGAAGTGCTGCCTGCTCTGCAAGGTTGGGTGAGGACTGAGAACAGTGGCTACAGAGTGAGCACATGAGGGGGCTCAGGAGCTCCAGCCCCACTGCCACCATGGGGGCTGTGGGCACAGCCTACACACTGGAGCTTGGGGATCTGCGAGGTCCAAAAGAGCTCAGCCCTGCTCCCACACAACACACCTTGTGGAAGTCCTCCTTCTCCTGCCTCGCCAGGCGGTACTGCTTCTCCAGGCCCTTCAACCGGTGCACGGAGTCCTCATGCTCCTGGCGTAACGTCACGGTGCCTTCCAGCTGCCGCTCAAGCCTATTCGAATCTGGGCAAAGAGAAGCAATTGTGCTCGTGTTCCTGGACATGTGGCACTGCTGTGTCAGCTAGCCTGGTGACAGGATTATCTGCAAACTCAGGACACGCTCCTCGTCCAGAGGCCTTTTTGATTTCTCACGCTCATGTGTCTCAAACTTGCTGGAATGAGCAGGCTCCCAGACTGTATTCCAACCGCTCCCTCCCCAGAGACTGTGAGCCCATGGAGAACGTGCCTGTGTCACCATCCCCGCAAACTGTGTAGGCACAGCACCTGGCCCTTCTCAGGTGTGATGAAGGCTGCAGTGAGACACTGATTCAATCGTGTCTTTCTGTGGATCAGGACAGCAGGCTCAGGTGGGAAATGGGGAGAAGGGGACAGGGTCACAGCAACCTGCAAGTGGATCAAAGGGCCACCTCAGGTGGGGGAAAAGGACCTGAGCTTGAGGAAGCTCTCACATCCAGAAACCACCAGCAGAAGGTGGTGGTGGGAGGTCTGGCCCCTGGATACAGAAGGGAGGCCCAGCCATGGGTGCAAGAGGCTATGTCAGTGCCACACAGAGAAAAAGCAGGGCTCATCGAGAAAACAGGGAACCGACTATAGTTAGCAGCTCTAAAGTTACCACAATCAAACGAGGTGGGGAAATAATTGCAGGCATCCGGATGCCAGAATTCAAGAGTAGGCACTGAACCTCGGGCCTTTCCTGCTTTCCAACTTTTGTATATGTGCTGCCAAAGCGAGCACTGCTTTCCAACTTTTGAAAGGTTCAGAAAGGATTGTCTCAGGAGAGGAACATCCAGGAACAGAGAGCACTCACCTGCTACCTTGTTCTTCAAACGCTCAATTTCCTCATTCAGCCTCTTGATCTCCTTGTCTCGGTTTGAGTTGCCCAGGGCCCTCGTGGAGCCGTGCAGGGACTGCACCGTCTGAGTGGACTCTACGGGAAGAGCAGCGTAAGCATGGCCATATGCGCACATCAGCTCCGCAGCCTGAGCCTGACCACCTGGTCACTCACCCTGCAGCTTGCGGCTCAGCTCTAGCTTCTCTTGCTCCAGCCTGCGGATTCTCCTCTCATAAGCCTCAATCTGCAAGCTGTTCTCCAAGTCCCGCTGCACATCTTCATCTTTGGTCAATGTGTTAGACTGCATCATGTTCTTCAGAGAGCCTCGGTCCGAAAAACAGCTACAAAGTAAGAGAACCAGGCTTTCTCAGCCACCAAGAACTGACAGTGACTCCATTAGCATTTAAAGAGTTCCGGGGGCCACAGTGTCTTTAAAGTGACAAACAGAGTATATGTGAAAAGACTACTGTGCGTGGAGCCAGAGTGAGACGGACCCACAGAGGGGTGGCTGGGACTGGGGCCTGCCACAGGCAGAGGCACAGCCTCAGCCTGTCAGAGAGAAAGCCTCCATGAGGAGGGAACATGCTGGCCACCTCACACTCACACTTGACTGAAAACACAACCAAGGCATTTTTGCCTCGAAGGCTAGGTGAACAGGGCGCCTGCCAAGGCTCTCAGCAGGTTGCCGGGGGCCCAGCAGGCCACTGAAGCCCTCTGCTTGTGACCCTCACTGGCTGAGCCATCTGAGACAGCTGTCAACCTTCTGGGGCTCTTCCGCTTGGCCTGCACATGAAACCATCCCTGTAGCACTGAGACCGAGGCCCAGCCAACTCGTGACCATACTTGTGCGCACGTTCAAGCACCAGCCCTGCCCAGACAGAAGCTGAAGATGTTTTCTGACCAAACAGCCTCAATTCTCAGACCACTGCATGTGTTACATAGCTCTGTTTAGCTCCTTTCAAGACACAAATTGATTTCCCCCACCGAGCTGCTAAATGCAGCAGAGTGCAAATCTGTTACAGAACAGAGCCTGGCCATGTTTCTGCAGGGGGCCTGAGAGGCCTGGGCTATCTCAGCCCTGTGGTGTCTGTCCTGGGAGTAGAGCCCAGGGTGCACCCTGCCTTGGGGACAGGCCTGGGTCCTGGGTCCTGCAAATATGAAAAGCACTCAGGAAACTCAAATGTACTGGGAAGGGCAAGGGCATCAGCACCAGGGCCCTAATAAATGCAATCCCCAACACTTTCCTTGGTGAGGCCCCAACCTCACAGCTACAGAGACTTCCACAAGCTTGAGCAGAGGCAGCCTCACCTGTGGGCCCTCACACCTCAGCTGCCAGCTCCCTGAAGATGCCACAAGCCCAGCTCTGCCACCTTCCTTAGAGTACGGAGATGGATTGTTTGTCTTGTTTTATCTTTCTTTCTTCTTGGCCTCAGTTTCCTTTTAAAATCAGGTCACACAAACTTGAGGCAAGGCCCATGGGAATGCAGTCTTGGAACCTGAGGGCTTGCCCACACCTGGGATGGACGGGTTTCAACCCCACTGACAGAATATGCAGCCAGGGCTCTAGTCCTTACAAAAGCCAGCTTGGTGCTCTAAAGGAAGATGGTGTGGGGCTGAGCACAGGTGGGAACAGCTGTGGCCACTGACTCTGCCTTGAGAACAAATCCTGCCAACACTGACACGTGGGCCAAAGCCCACACAGCCTGTTCTTGTGCCATCCAGGCACTGGGGTGGCTTTTACATTGCTCAAAGGGCTTGAGGGGGTTTAGTGATGCACACATGCTGAGGCAGAAGAATCACAAGCTTAAGGTCAAGCCTGGACAATTTAACAAGACCCTGTTTCAAAACAAAATAATAAAAAGGTCTGGGGATGCAGCCCAGTGGTAGAGCGCTTGTCTCTCATGGGTTTAGTCCCCAGCCCCACAAACAATTGTAAAAGGGAAAGAGAAACAGAAAACAGAGACCAAAATCCCCAAATTACAGTCCTGTGTTGCTTATGGATGGGGACAATGTTTTAAGAAACATGCTGTTAGACTGTGTTATGCAAACATCACAGCTCACTCATACTACACAACAGCAAATCAAACACAAAAGACGCAATCAAGAGATGCAGTGAACACGAGCTCTTGAGTTGCCACCAGTGCACCAAGCACACTGCTTTATGGTGAGCTTTCTTTCCTAAGGAGGCAAACACTCCACAGTTCAGCAGAGGACAGGCAAACCAGGCACGTGGTTGATTAATGCAGTGTCCAGTGCAATGTACCATAGTAACTGTATGTGTGGTGCCTTTTTTTCTCAGGGACTAGACCCAGGGCCCTCACAGTGAGCTGCACTCCCAGCCCTTTGTTTAGAAACAGAGGCTTTCAAAGCTGTCACGGCTGGTTCAAACTTGGGATTCCCCTTCTTCAGTCTCCCACAGTGCTGGGACTACAGGTGTGTACTACTGGCGGCCCAGCTGTTAACATGAGCAGCACACAAACACACAAGTAAGGTGTCATTCTACAACAGACCCTAGGACCATGACAGCACCAGGCCTGAAGATTCTCACATCCACCGTGACCTCTTAGAACCACCACAGGATATGCGGTCCGATGAAACATCATTACGTGGCACAGGACTGGATTCACTATTTTGCCCTTTAGAAAAGTGTGCCAACCTTGATACAGAACTGCAGCATCAGGTGTGCATTTCTAACAGATGAGTCCCTCCACTCTCTCCTGAGCAAGGCCCCCAAAGGCACATGCCCATGAAGGCGCCCATGCTCAGACCCTGTCCCCCCAGGGAGGCTCTGCTGGGGGGAAGAGCCACACGTACCTTTCTGTTGTAAACGTGAAACCAATGAATGGCAAATGCAATCCAGAGAAGCCCGTGTGAGAGCCAGGAGGTAATATTTCCTGCATAAGAGCAGAAATAACACACACAAAATCTACATTCAAACATTGGCAAAGAGGAGAGTGTGTTCCAGGGTGGTGGGTCAGGAAGGCCGGCCAGGCTCACAGGACACCTGCTCTGTGTGGTGTCTGCGGGGGTGTGTGGCATCAGCAGGTTTTTGTCCCTCTGCCCCGATATGCACAACGCAGCCTGGAGGACAGATGTACTAACTGTGCTGCCCGCCTGCATTAAGCTAGAGACTGTTGAAAGCACAACTTGGCACAGCCAAGTGCATACACAACATCGCAGACCAGGGCAGCACTCAGGCACAGGCATGGCGGGACTCTCAGGTCTTTGCCCAAGAAAGGAGCTCTGGAACCAAAAGGCAGACTATTTTAGATAGTTTATTACAACTTTATTTTTCAGGTGGAGGATCTTAAATAAAAATCAAAGGATTCATCTGGGGAGTTTGGCACGGAGCCAGTATTCTGGCATCCAGGAACAAGCCTTTCAACTGTGGCACCGGTTCTTACAGCCTTTTTTCTGCAGGGTCCACAGTTGGCTCTTACATTGAGTGGGAGGCATCCACACAAGGGCTAAGTGAAGCAGACAACTCCCCACAAAGCTGCAAAAGGGGCTTCACAGGTTCTCCCCAGGACCTTGGCTTCTGCAGGACAAGGCCCAACCACCAGGAATTTCCCAAGATCTAGGTCACTCCTTTTAAGAGATTAAGAGGGATAAAGCCTCTGCAGCAGATGGCACTATTTTACTATGACAAATTCTTTTAACTAAGTAGTAAATAAAATTTACTCTCACATGGTTAAAACCTGTTTCTCCACCTCTAAGCCAAGTGACATGTAAGGGTCGGATGAGGCCAAAACAATTTTTTTTGGCAGTTCAGATTAAACCCTTAAACACGCTAGGTAAGCACTCTGACACTGAGCTGTATCTCCAGCACTACTCTTTTTTTTCCTGAGATAAGGTCTTGCTCAGTTGCCCAGGCAGTCCTCCTGCTTCAGCCTCCCAGAGTGACAGGACCATCTCAAGTCTTTATGCGGACATAGTGGCAACAGGGCTGTGACAAAGTTATGACACAAGCACATATGTGACACTGTTTAGAAAAGGAAAAAAGTATGACAAAAAGAAAAGCAAAACACTTTTTGATGAGTTCCAAAAGTCAAACTGAATAATCTATCTTTGAAAGGGGGCAGTGAGGGCTGCACTGAAGGCTGCTGTGTAAATACACTTTCAGGAGACAACTGCCGCACTTCTCACGAAATCAGCCCAGCCCTGCAACTTACTAAGGTGCTGAGCAACATCTTGGCCTAACCCTGCTGACATCCAGACCCCGGCCAGCACTGCCAGCATTGCCGGGACCCTGCAGCCATGACACTTACAGTGTTTCTCAGCACATCATCATCCACGTCGAAGTTGGAGGTGTCAGAGGGACTGCTCACGTCTGGAATGTAAGGTGCTTCGAGGTTTCGTATGTTTTCCCAATTTAGACCTTCAAAAAATGCATGTTTTTTGAAGTCCTCTATTCCATTCTGCCCTAGTCGGCGCTCTCTACTGCAGATCAACCTCTGGATGAGGTCTTTGGCTTCTTCAGAAACATCCGTGACATGGGAAGGAAACTGAAATCGCTCCTGTGAGGGGCAAAAGCAGTGCAGAAGTGGATGCATTCTGACATAAAGACACACAAGAAACAACAGCCCTTTATATGTCATGGTAACTAAAGGCAAACCATAGCCAGGGAACTTCAACTGCAAGAGGCAAACAAGAAAACCGACAGTCTCTCCAGTTTCATCCACAGCTGACTTGCTACCACATTATTATAGTGATGACAAATTTTCACTTTTCAGAGTGTCACAGAACATGGAAGGTGTGCTATGGGGCCGGGCACCAGCACAACCTTCAGAAAGTGTCCTGCAGTATCCAGGGCAAACCCCGTCCAGAAGCCCACTCTACAGAAACATGCAGAACTGCACCAAGAGAATGGAAATTCACCTCAACACTCATCCAAAGGACTTACTGAAAGTGACAGTGCATACTCATGAAGAAAGGCCGGCCTTGGTGTTTACACAGGAAGATGCCAAAATACACCTACAAAACTGCCACCCACACATACCCTGGTGACAGGGGTGCTGAGAGTACACCGCCTTGAGGGCAGCCTCGTCAGCGGGGCTGCAGTGAGGACTGGGTGTGCACGTGCACAGAGCACCTGCACAGCCCACGGGAACACAGTACAGCAGCTCCTGCGTCACTGCACAGCGTGGACCACTGACGGGCGTTCTCCATCCACCAGTGCCCTCTGTGCTATGTGAAGGCTTCATATAAAACGGATTAGTTTATTAACGAAAAATGTATTTCCACTTTCGGGAAATTTTTTTGTTTTTGTTTTTCTCTTTTTGGTATCAGGGATCGAAATAGGACCTCGTGCTTGCCAGGCAGGCACTGTGTGGCTGAGCTACATCCCAGGTCTCATGAGGGAAATTTTTCTTAAATAACAGCTTTTGCTTTCTTTGGAATTAAATACAAAACCATTACCACTTTCAGGCTGATCTGTCCCACATGAGCAATTAGGAGGACTATCCAGCACACAAGTGGGAGCGCTGGGATGTGTGTGTGGGAACAAGTGTGTGCAAGAGTGTGTGTACGACAGCAGGCAGGAACAAAGAATGCCATAAACATGCTGGTAGGATGAAACTAGCATTAGCAGGACACCTGAGTAAGGAAAGTAAAGAAAAAGAAAAAAAATTGAGAGGAAATAATAATAATAAAAGAAAACAAAAGACAGCGGGCAGGCAACATGGAAGGAAGAGTGAGAGCTGAGAAAGGGGAAAGAAGAAATGGGATCAAGAAAGAACTACAGAGCTCTGGGAACACACTGCCAAGGGCACAGCTCTCAGCGACAGACCTAAGCTGTGGCCCCCAAGCTCATGGCACCCACACTCCACACAGCCATGGAAATGCCCGCTTCTCCTCAGACACTGAGGAGTTCTCCAAGCATCCCTCTCAGGCTCAGCTCTCTCACGTCAGCAGTCAGTGTTGGCTGCAACCGAGTCCTGCTCCCTTCAGCCCAAACCCTGACAGCCTTTGCACCTCAGCCCCCCCCAACCTCCAGGCCTGTGCCAGGTGCTGGGAGACGCAGGATGCGGAGGCGCAACGCCTTACTTCGTGGTTCATGATCTTCCCGTAGGTCTCCACGAGCGACTCTGCGTAAAAGGGCGTCTCCCCATAGAGCATCTCGTACATGCAGACGCCCAGGGACCACCAGTCGCACTCAGGTCCGTACTTGCCCATGCCGTCCTCCATGGCCTGCAGGATCTCAGGCGAGATGTAGTCAGGTGTGCCCACGGCCACTGAGGACTGGACCTGGGGAGGAGGAGGTGCTGAAGGGAGACCCCAGAGCCTCGAACTGCAGCCTCTAAACACTTTCTCTAAAGCCCAGCAGCAACAGGAAAGGAAGTAATCGTGGAACAGAAGTAGCTAGTGGCCAGGATTTAAAAGCCTAACTCAAGATTAGGGCAGGCCAATACTCCTCAAGTGCTAAGACCGTACAGTCCCCAGGATGCCAGTCCAGGCGCAATGCCCACCGTGCCCCGTGGCAACCCCTCCAGTCCCTGAGGGCAGGATCCTCACCCTCAGTCCCACCTCGCCCCCAGTGTGGCTTGGGACTGTTTGTGTCCATCCCAGCCCTTGATCCTCTGTGCATATAGACCCTGGGGAAGGGGCTCTGTGTTTCTACCATTCCAGTCTGCCAGATGGAACAGAGGAAGCTGGTGTACTCTGGCACTGCCTGGACAGGGGACTGGAGGTAACCATGTCCCCCAGAAGGAAAACGAGAGCTCCCTGTGGCCTTGTGTCTAGACATAGGGCTACTTCTCTCCTGAACTGTGACCAGCAAGGGTCACTCATCACAAGAAACCAAGAGGGGGCCACATAAGCTGAGGCACGGATGGGGCAACCGTCAGGCCAGACTCTCCCCCGAGTCCTCTCTGGGAGAGTATGTGGGGCCAGTGTGGTGACAGCTGCTCCTCTGAATGGATCTACCTCCTGCGCTGGTGGTGACTCTGAAGGGGGACGTGCAGGTAAAAAGGTGACTGAGATCAGCGCTCTGGCCGCTGGGTGACTACAGCGGAATACAGCAGCAGCCCACCATCATCAGCTGTGTGGGAAGGACTTCAAAGGGACCAGCTTTGCGGAAAGAGCGAGCAAACAGATCATGCCCTATGAAACACTGGCGGCTGTACTGGGGCCTGCAAATGGCTGGGAGGAAAGGATGGGCTGCTCGCCTGTGTCCATGGCACATGCCCAGGAGGAGTTCCTATGGTAATGAGAGCAGGGCTGGATGTGGCCGAGCTGCAGTGCAGGGAGGACCAGCACAGGGCCTCTGCCCTACAGCGGGAGGGTTGCTGGCCTGCGACAGCCTAAGTCCTGAACAGCAGGAGGGTGCCTGCCACGTGCCTCAAGAACTGGTCACAAAGCACAATGGGCAGGGCTTGGCGGGGGTGGGCAGCTGAGAGCTGACCTCGGGGTCTCAGGAACAAGGCCATTCCCTGGAAGGCACACATGATCCTCGTCAACTCAAAAAACAACAGAGATGCCTTTAAACTTTAAAAAAATTCCCCAAAGAGGAAATCGTCCATTGGCTCCTAAATTAACTCATTTTCTTAATTTACATTAATAAAGTTTATTTACTTTTTAATTTTAAAATTTATTTATTTTTTTAAGACAGGGTCTCACTACTGTATATTCCAGGCTGGTCTTAAACTCACCATGTAGCCCTGACTGGTCTAGATCCTTCTGCCTCAGCCTCCCAGAGTGCTGGGATTATGGGTATGTGCCACCACATCGAGGTAGTAAAGTTGATTTCTTAATTGTATCTCAATTTAAACACTTAAACCCCTTCTAACTATAAGCTGAAGCCAAAACCAAATGGAAAATCTCCAAAAGAAATACTTACAGTTCCATCATCATTCATCTTCAAACACGACCCGAAGTCAGCCAGGCGGATATGGCCATTCACATCCAAAAGGACATTGTCAGGTTTGATGTCTCTGAGAGGAAAGGAAATACGCATGCTAACCACCTCCACAGAGCACACCAGGTCACAGCCCTGCGCTGGCAGTGGGTCCGGGATTAGCTGAGGAACAGCCACAAGCACTGCCAGGAGAGCTGTGATGCCAAGCCATGGCCTCCAGGGCCACCCAGCAGGAACCAGTCAAGAAGCCCCAGCCCAGCGGGCAACACAGCCCCTCCCACCCATCTCCTGCTCAGCAAATCGCCCTCGGGGCTGAGGTAATGCTGTCCCTGCGCTCCAAGGCTTACACTCAGCCTGGGATCAGACAGTGGACAGAACATGAAGTCAAGGGACACACTGTGCCATCAGAGGAAGCCAGCGGTGGCACCATGGGGAAGTGAGGAAAGGCTGCGGCTGGCTGCTGCAGGTAACAAGCATCCAAGGCCCACAAGGACTTCAGAGCAGGACATGGAGTGCTGTGCCATGTTCCACACACAGGAACAGGAACCCAAGCTGTGCGGAAGGCCCGCTTCCCCAGTGGCACCTCACACTCCCAAATGTTTGCCCCATCTCCTTCCCAGCAGAACAAACTAAGAGGCCTGAAAGAGCTGAAGAGGACACAGACTAAAAAGCAGGGCAAGATTCGCACCTGACAACACATGCAAGCCTCTTCCCAGCAGCAGCACCCCCTGCAGGAGCAGGTGACCACGCCGTGCCATGCCAGGGATGGGCAGGCCCTGGGACAAAGTGTGCAGGAAGACGCACACAGACACTTGCACAGGAAACAACCACAAAGCAAAGACTAGCAGAACACTGACTGAAATAAATATCCTCAAGTGGGCACTCAGGGATGATCCCACGATGAATAATTGAAACACAAAAACCTAAAAAAGAAGAACTGGACAGAAACAAGCAGAAATAAAGAGTGGACTAAACTCAGGGAAGAAATAGAAGATAAAGAATAACATCAGAAATGAGTACCGATACACAAAACGCCCAAAGGAGAACAAATGCAAATTAAAATCCAGTGAAGAGCACTGAAGATGAGAGAAGAGGAAGGAAGCACAGGCAGATGAAGGTGTGGAGTCTGCGTGCAGGCACCACACATCTATAGTGGGGCCCACAGCAGCCCACACGCAGAGCAGTGTATTTTAACCCCAATCCTCAGGAGAGACAGACAGATCTGCACAACGAGAAGGCCCAACAGATGATGAGAAAAACAAAAGCCAGCAGGTGTGGTGGTGCACACCTGTGATCCCAGCACTTGGGAGGCTGAGGCAGGAGGATCACCTCGAGTTCAAGGCCACCCTAGACTACACAGCAAGACCCTATCTCAAAAACAAAACCAAAGAAAAGCAAAAACAATTCCTGGTTTTTGGAGCCAGAAAAGCTGATACAGAAGAACACTCAAAGGATCTAGGAACAGCAAGAAGAGGAGCTCAGATGGGGTGACCTATGTGGCTGGCTGGAGACTGCCACAGCAGGGGCGTGCGGAGAGGCAGCAGGCAGAACCTCTGGAACCCACTCGGTGGGGGGACTGCACACTGAGACTGTGACGAGGCAGTACCTCGGGGCACTGGGGAGAGAGGCTTCCACACGTGACCAGTGCAGGGCCATTGGATTCAAAGTAATGAGACCCCCTTCCACGCTATGTAATCCTAGTATGTGCAAAGCCCGTGTCAAGCCTCACCACTGCGAAAAACAACAACAAACCCTGAGTAGATGAGAGACCCACTGTGTAAGAAATGAAACTATATGGGGCCAGGGATTTAGCTCAGTGGTTCTGCCCCACCTGTCTCTGAAGTGCAAGGACCTGAGTTCAATCCCCATACCAAAAAAGAAAAAAGAAAAATAAATGAATCTATATCAATAAAAGACCAAATGGAAACCTGAGTTCTCCTTCTCTCTGAAGATTAAAATAAAGGACTTCTCTAGCTGAGCGTGGTGGTACACATCTGTCATCCTAGCACTTAGCACTTAATGGAAACCTGAGTTCTCCTTCTCTCTGAAGATTAAAATAAAGGACTTCTCTAGCTGAGCGTGGTGGTACACATCTGTCATCCTAGCACTTGGGAGGCTGAGGCAGGAGGATAGCCCCAAGTTTGAGGCCCGCCTGGGCAACACAGTGAGTTCAAGGCCAACCTGAACTACATAGGAGAGCCTGTCTCAAAAAAAAACCAAAAGATAAATAAATAAGTAATAAAAAGGCCTGGATATGTAACTCAGTGCAAAAGCCCTGGGTTCAAAACACAATATAAGCAAAACCAAGGTATGAGAAATAGGTACAGCCAAGAAAAGCCTAAGACACAGATGGTGGGATACTGGCTGGGATGCCTGCAGAAACAGCTGAAGAACATTATATAAATAAAAGTACAGTAAACAAGATTACATTAAAATTTTTCTTTTAATCTGCATGGCAATAAAACCATAACAGCAAAATAAAAAAAACAAATGGAAAACTAGGAAGAATATGTGCAACACATATTACAGATAAAAAACAAGTATTTCTTTTTCTTTTTTGGGGGAGGGTACCAGGGATCAAACTTGGGTCCTTGCACTTGCGAGGCAGGTGGTGGAACCACTGGGCTAAATCACTGGTGACAATTATTTCTTTAACTGAAGGAAATAAGGCATAAATCTTACAGAGAAGTGAGTAAGACACGAAACACATGGGGGGGCAGGCACGCCCACATGCGAGCAAGGCAAAAACAACTGTGGCACCATTTTCACCCCTCAGATGGCAGAATTTCCAAAGCTTCAATACACTGTGCTGGCACGGCTGCCAGGACAAACGCAATTCCACAGTGCTGGGACAGTGACCCCAGGGAAAGTGGCAATGTGTACTAAAGCTACGTATGTGTTCGATTTCTTCTTTCTTTTTTTTGCACAAGGAATAGAACTCAGGACTTTGTGCTTGTGAGGCAGGCATGGCGCCACTGAGCCAAATCCCTGGTACATGTGTGATTTATTTTGACCCAGCAATGCCCGTTGCAGGAGCAGCTGATGACAGTAACGACGCAGACACATTCACGTACAAGGGTACTCATTGATACATCCACATAACCACTGGAATCCACAGCAGGACCACTGCCGAGCACTACGTAAATGGTGGAAAAACGGAGAGCCCCACGACCTGCGTGGGAGGACTTCTACCACACACAGTTACATGAAGAAACAAAATGCAAAATTACACATCAAGCAACATAGCATCCTACTTTGGAGGGAAAAATAAGAAAACACGAACACAAGAGCGGAGGACAGCAGTCTGGCCAGGGGGGCAGGCAGAAGAGGTATGAAAAGACTGAGCCCTCTCTGAGCTGCACTTCCTACAGAGTGGTGTTGGGAAACAAGCATGCTCCACACACTGCCCAAAGATGGGAAGCAGAACTTGAAGTAGAAGGTGTGACACCTGCCAGCGCAACAGGACTTCAGCATCACACTGAAGGGACAAGGGGCAGGAAAAAGCAACACATCAAAGGCCCACTGACTTGTGAGCATAAACTTGACAGAAATGCAGGTGGGCAGTGGGGTCCCAGGCTGGGAGGGAGGTCTGTTTGGGGGGATTTGCAGCTGCTCAGACACACCACAGGTCTGGGCAGATGAGTCACTGAACTCAGTTGCAGGAGGAAACTAGAGGCACTAGCAGAAGGAAACCCAAAATGCATACCAGGAGAAGCCAGAAAGTGAACTCGTGGTTCCCAAACTGTGCAGGGCTGACCAGGTACACGTAGGCATGTATGGACAGATGCCCATCTACGTGCACACACCTGCGTTCAGGCCGCTGTCCTCTTGACGGCTGTGCAGTGGGTACACCTGCTGCAAGCAGCACACCTAGCACCTTGGTCCTGTCATTCAAACCATTCCCTGCTGAAGGATCAGAGCACCACAAAGAAATGACCAAGCCAGGCACAGAGGTAAAAGATGTGCCAGAATCTGAGGTGGCCCTCAAGCAAAACCCAGGGAGGGCAAGGCACAAACATGGGGTTGGCTGGAAGGGTCTTCTGCTGGCCAATACAGGACAATCTGGGCACAAAAACAGCTAAGACAGTGACAAATTATAAAGCACTAGGAGGTAAAAAGCTCCCTGTACCCATACAGGTTGTAGACTGAAACATGTGAAGGGAAGCTAACAGTCACAGGTCGCATGCTATGAGCCCGTGAGGACAGCCTACAGCGAGAGGTCACTGCTCTGGAGCCCGCCCACTAGATGTCCCAGCAGACCTGAACTGGGCAGGAGATTCTGAGGAGGAAGAAGATACTGGTTTGGGCTTCAGCATCTGCCCACAGGGGTAACTGCTAACTATACAGCAGGAAATAAAACAAAATCCTAACTGGGTGACCTAATTTATCAGCACTGTAGGGCTGATGGTAATGTCTGCAACTGGGTGTGGCCCAGAAGGACCAGGTATATCCGTATATCCGTTCACATGCATGCCTGCCAGAAATGCAGAACCTCAGTCTCTCAGGAGGAAGCAGCATCCCACCCACCCTGAGAAGCATGCCCGAAGAGCAGGACACATTCTTTAAATGTCAACGACCTGGACGACAAAGCAAAGGAACTACTCCAGCTCAAAATGGGTTAAAAAGGCACAACAGCTAAACCTAACGTGTGACCCTTGGCCAGATTCTGCAATGAAGAGAAGAAAATACCAGAAAGATGGGACCAGGTCAACAAAAGAAATGTGGATACAGGTGGTAAGATTAGGCATGCGTATAATGTTGTCTCCTGAAACGAGCAAGTGTACTCTGAGTAAGGGAAACCCTTAACCCTAAAACATCTGATACATACACCTTATTCTAGGACAGCACAGGAAAAGCTGTGTGTGGGGGCCACAGGTGTGCAGTCTCACGGATACACCAACCTACAAACAAACCAGGAGTTTCAGGACAGAACTTAATACAAGATAAAACATTTTTATAAAAATATTTTGACACTTTTTAATCACATTCTTCAACTGTGATCAAGTATGAAAATATTTTAAATAAATATATTTTATACAGTTGTCCCTCCACAGCTGCAGGGATTTCCCATTCCTGCTCTTGCTCTGATGTATTGGAAAGGCAGCCTGCTCCAGCCCACTGAGTAGTCTGCCAAACATGTCCCTAGTGGGGCTTCCTGGGTCTGACTCCAGAGCAGAAGTCACCACCTGGCAGGCTTCTGAGTCACCCTGCCTGCCTCACCTTCCTTTTGGGTTCAGTCTTTGCTAGATTCTTCCTCTTTACCTTCTACAGAACTTTGCATATTCCTGGGGCTTGTTTTCCAAGACCCCTTCTGTTCTCTGAATATCCATCACTAATTCTACTCAGTTCTTATTCCATGCTCTGCCCTCTCTGCCAGCCGCACTGTTCTTGCTCTCTAATCATCTGAGACTCTGCCCCTCCAGTCTCTGCCTTTCCTGTGCCCTGGGCTGACCTCTGGAAGGAACTGACCTGTGCACTGGTACCCCAGGTCCTAGCTCCCACTGCCTCATCTCTCAGGAGCTCCTACAGGGTAGCTGCCAAAGCAGCTGGGGGGCGGCAGGCCCTGCCTTCTGGCAACCTCAGGAAAGGGCCCTGGCCAGGGCTGTGCTAGTCAGCAGCACCACGCCTGTGCTGGGGAAACTGCACTTCTGACCCCGCCAAGTGCAGTTCCAGCTTCCGCACATACCTACTCGCACCGGGCAAGCGGGCTTCCAGGAAAGACTGACTGTTCCATCCTGAAACTGGACCATAGCTCATCTTAGTTCAATTAAAAGAAAGTTTGGGGTTTTTTTCTGAGGAAGTTTGGGTTATTGTTTGTTTCTTTTGTGTAAGAATCATTTTGGTTTATGTCTTGAAATAAATACTTTGAAGATAAGTGCAATAACTATTGTTATTTCCTTATTATTTAGTTACAAAAATTTGTTTTATTTTTTCATAAAATAAAAAGATTTGTTCCCTACCTGATTATTTTAAAAGGGAAAATGCTAAGGAGACTCTTAGTAGAAATCTGCTAAGATTTTGAATTAAATGAAATCCAAAAAATATTAACTGTAAAATTAAAAAATGTGTAATTTTTTTTTTGGTACTATCAAACTCGGGTCCTTGCACTTGCAAGGCAGGTGGCAGAACCACTGAGCTAAATCCCCAGCCCAAAAGATGTATAACCTTGACTTCCAAAAATATACAGTGATACCTCAGTTCACAAATGTTTCTATTTGTGAAGAATTCATTTCACCAACAAAAGCATTTGGCAAAATGTTGCTTTTGTTAAAAAAACTCCGCATCAGGTAACAATCACAACCACGGACATCTCCCCACACGAACACAGCCAGCCTATTCTCCAAAATCATAAAACAAATTAAGTTCATAAACCAAGGTACCACCGTAAACAAACTGCAAACTTACAGGCAAAAAAAAAGATGGTTCATTATGCACTGAAACTGAATGAGTTGTCTTGGGGGAAAAAGTTTTTGAATTATATATTTTCATGTCAAAGCAAGGCATGGTGGCGCCTGCCTATAATCCTAGCACTTAGGAGACCAAGAGAGGAGAACCACTGCAAGTTAAGGCCAGCCTGAGCTACACAGTGAGTCCAAGGCTACTCTTCACTACATAGCGAGACTCTACCTCAAAAAAAAAAAAAGAAAAAGAAAAAGAAAAAGAAAGAGAAAGAGAAAGAGAAAGAGAAAGAGAAAGAGAAAGAGAAAGAGAAAGAAAAAGAAAAAGAAAAAGAAAAAGAAAAAGAAAAAGAAAGAAAAAGAAAACCAGCTGGGGATTTAGCTCAGTGGTTCTGCTGCCCACCTCACAAATGCAAGGTCCTGAGTTCTATCCTCAGTACAAAAAACAAAACAAAATAAAAGAAAACCACAATTAACCAACCTATACTTTGGAGTCAACTGTGCCTAGAGGTCAAATGAGAAAGAAGATACTATGCAGCTGATTGAAAAATGAGGCAAAGGCTTTCTAACTAGGGGCAAACAGGACAGGGTAAGCCGTTAAAAAGATGTTTAAATTAATTTCCTTGGAGACCTGTGACAAGACCTCATTTCTTTATTGTGAATCAGTCAAAGTTCTGTCAAGAAGATGAAACATAAAATCTAAATGTCAAAAGCAGCAATGACTTGGAGAAGCATAACTACTACACACAAAGAATACATGGGACAAAAGACAAGCACTGTGCAAGACCTTATCACAACAGCCCCCACCCTTGACCCAATTGGTCCTTGTGGGGGTTTCGTGGGATGACCCACAACAGGCCCCTCTTGGCCACAGAAGATCACAGCCAAGCAGGTGCTGACAGAGGCCAGGCCATCACTAGTGACAGAAGTGAAAATTTGTGGGTGCCACATGTGCTGTGGGGAAACCATGCTGTGTTCGCTCGCTCGCCGGTAGACTTGTGACCAAGGCAACACCCAGAGGAATATTCAGGGCGCTGCCTGTGACATACACAAGGGGTGGTTACCTGTGCACATAATGGAGCTGGTGGATGGAGTCAATGGCCAACACCATCTCACCGATGTAGAACCTCGCCATGTCTTCCGGAAGCTTGTCTTCAAATTTACTGAGCAGGGTCAGCAAATCACCACCCACGTAGTAATCCATGACCAAGTACTGTAGATCGGGGCGAGAAGGAAACAGTACAGCACTCAGTGACCACTGAATCTAACAAGTAAAGGCCAAACTCACCACAAGAGCCCTTTGACTCTCCAAGGCTGGAGTGGCCAGCCAGCGTCAATTCTGGGAAGGTATACACAACAATGATATACACAACAATGCCGCTGCAATTTACGTTACACATGTGGCAGAGAACAAACTAATACACTATTCAATCAGTGAATAAACAACTGCAGGGTCGCTGCTGGAGAAAGCCCTCAAAAGCTGGTGACCCAAAGAGCATAATTCATTGCCCACCCCATCCTGCGGGTTTGGTCTGCCAGGCTCTGTGGCTCGGGTGGGTAGTGGGCCAGGGAAAGGAGCTGGGTGGTCTACAACCACACAGGGCGCTGGTGGGAAAGATGGCATCATAAGAGAGTGGAAAGCAGCACACATGCCTCACTCCACAGATGAGCCAAAAAGCATGGTTCCCAAAGAAACTAGAGCAACACGTTTGCAATGGCAGACGGCCACCAGGCCCAGTATGTGCCAGGTGCTGGAGACCCTTCTGTCTGAAGGTGGCAGCTCGCGCTACAGAGGCTCAGGAGGCCCCAGAGCAGGCAGCTTACTGGTCAGAGGCCCAGATGGACAGGACCACCACGGCCCATGGCAGTGTGACGGCTGAAACTGCACTACTGGGGACCTTGCCAACTCAGACACACCAGAGACACTGGAGGGCCTGCCCCAAGAGAAATGCCAACTCCAACACTTACTTCCTTTGAAAACATAAATGCTCTAATCCAGACCCTTAACTCTTCAACACAAGAAAAAAACACCATTCCCTGGTTTACAGAGCTGTATGAAGGAGCCCGAGTGTAGCAGCACAACTGTAATTGCAGCACTCTGGAGACAGTCCGGAGGACACTATGTGTTCCAGGGCTACATGTAGCCTGGGCTACATGGTGAGACCCTGTCTCTGAATAAACCAATGAAAGTATCTAGGACCTATGAGCAGCGGGCTGCCTGCCCCAGGCCTGTGCCCTCTTAGTCCTCACACCAGCCCTCCACTAGGTGCAATCAAGACCCCATTTTACAGGAGAGATTCAGTGACCAGTCCACGTCACCCAGCTAGTAAATGACAGCTGGATCAAGCCTCAGCATGATCAAACCTGCACAGGTCCTGCCCCCGAGACAGGGAACCTCCCACCATGCTGCCATCTAGGCCCAAGGAACCAGAGAAGCCTGCACTGGAGGTCCCTGTTCCCAACAGAATGTCAACCAGTAGCCACTCATCCTGCCTGCAAGACTGGCCTCCCCACTATGAAGGGTGGTAGGGACCCCAGGGAGGGGTCTTGGACAACTACTCTCCTATCTCTCACATCTTATTCTACCTGTGCCACACAAAGCTCTCAGGGGATATCCTGTCGAGTCGGCACCTCCCTCACTCTCAGCAGTGAGCCTGTCAGCAGCCCCTGGGAGTCAGGGACCAGATGTGCAGCAGAAAGGCTCGGTCCTTGCTAGCCGTGCTCACATGAGTACAGTGAGGTGGACCACAGCAAGCAGCAGTGGCAAGAAGGGCCAAAGACACAGGCCTTGCAGCTGGCAGCATGGCTAGGGACTCCTGACACTGACCTCGGGGTAGAGTCCAGCGGAGGCCCAAGGGGCAGCCTCGCTCCAGACATGTGTGGAGAGGACAGAGAGAACAGTGTGCGGCTGGAGCCTGGTGTGTGGGGGTGGATGGAACCAGGCTCCCCCTCCTCGGCTATGGCAGGGACTGGGAAGGCTGGGACATGGCCCAGGCAGGGCAGGGTGCTATGTGCAGGGGCAGTAGGCAGTAAGGACAGCAGGCAGGTGCTCCAGAGGAGGGGAGAACAGCAGCTGCGAAGATGCAGGTGGGGAGGGATCATGACAGCAAATGGCCTTGGTCTCCCACCCACAGAAAGCAGTGGGCACGAAAGGGCCACACAGAGCTGAGCTGAATGGTTCCTGTGCCAACTTAGAAATCGACAAAGATAAACAAAAAGCATATTTTGGAGCACTAATCTGACTCTCTCTTGGAAAAGAAGCTTATAAGACAAATACATGCAAGCATGCATAAGGCAAAGAAGTAAAAATTTATCTTGGAGTAAGAACTAAACCAATGATTTTCTCTGTCATACAGTGCAAGACTCTGAGTTAAGTCAATAAGGCAACACTTTTAGTCAGTGGTGAAGTAGGTTTAACTTCTGTGACACTCCAAGTTAGACCACAGCACTACCAGGATCCTGGCGGTCACAGGAAGCCACATCTCCACCTGCACCTGGGCCTCAGTGCACTGCAGACGGCGCAGCAGGGAACAGGTCTGCCGCTCCCACCCCCTCTCAACCACATACTGGCAACCTTCCATGCCTCTGTCTTCTTCCCATCCTCAATTTTCATCATTCTTCACATCGGGCCACTCCAAAAACTCAAGCAAAGGGCATTTCCTCTGGGGTTCTTAATCACTTTGTCTCAGCTCAGGATACATGGGCTAATGCCTGCCTCATACTTTACCTAGCAGCACACCATGCTGAGTTTGGAAAAATATTTGAAACAAACCCTAAGTACGCCTTCCTCTGTACAGACTCATGCTCTCCAGTGTTCACTGGAAATCCACTCGATTCTTATCGAAAGAGAAAGCTGAGGGTTCTGAGGCAGCCCAGGGCCATTAGCCACCTGCCAGACAGGCTCAGGCAAGGGCCCTGTCACAGTGGCTACCACCTGCGCAAGAACCACGGGCACATGGCCATGCCTCTCTGTGCCTGACACCCCATTTATGAACAATGAAAAGCAAAAGGGTCCAACTCCCAGAGACCCTGGGAAGACTGCCCAAGATAACCTTGGGCTTGACGTGCTGCAGGTACTCAACGACACCAGTGCCCCTCTGCCGAACAGAGCGGTACAGCTTCAGTTCCATATAAAAAGCATAAAACGTTTTACCTAATCCTGTGTGCTCAGATCTAACAGTTTTTGTTTTGTTGTTTGCTTTTTTCCCAAGCTGTTGGCTGGTCTTGAACTCGAGATCCTCCTGCCTCAGCCCCATGACAAGCTAGGATTATAGATAGACATGTGCCAGTAAGGTTTTGATATTTGAGAGATTATTATAAAATTTAAAAAAGCCTACATTATTGTTTTTTATGAATAAATGGCACATATGACTAAAGAGCTTCAGGGTGAAAAGGGTAAGTGAGCCACTGCGGGAAAGGAAGAGCTGGATGTAGTGGTGCACACCTGTAATCTCAGCACTCTGGGAGGCTGAGGCAGGAGTCCAGCCTGGGAAACTTAAGAGACTTTGCGAGACCCTATCTCAAAATAAAAGCAGCTGCGACCTATAACTCAGTGCAAAGACCATGGGTTCAATCCCTAGTGCCTCAAAAACAAAAAATAGAAGGGCCTCAGGTCCCTGCTTGGAAGCTGTGATGACAATGGTGGTTGTAGCCTGCCTGGCCACAGATATAGAAGAGTATGGGCCAGAAGAAGTGAAGCTGACTTGCTTCTCCAGTCTGCCTAGGGCCTTGTCCACCCTCAGCTCTGTGCCGGACGTGCTCTGAGTTTAGGAAGCCCGGAACATCCTTCCAGCAGAGAAAGTTCCCAACAGGCTTCCTGCAGTCCACTCAGGGCTCAAGGTCACAGCCTGCTCTCCCCACATTTCCAAGCTGGCTGCCCCATGTCCGTGCTCAGCTCCACTCTCACATGTGGAACATGGCACTCAGGAAATGAAGTAAGAATAAGCAGATGATCCAGAATCACCCAATGGCATCCTCAACAGGCAGCCCAGAGGGGGCTGGAGACACAGCCACACAGCAGGGCTGAAGCACTGTCATCCCCACAGCTGCTTCCTGTCATCATACATGATTCATGTCAGGAAATGCCTCAGGGCTCCAGGCTATTTAAATATGGTAAACTGGACAGCCGGAGGATGCAGTAATCTGGTACCTTAGTAAGTGGAGAAGATGCAGACATTCGTGTCTATGGCTAGCAAACCCTATCACTGGGTGTGACATTACAAGCCCCTCTGCAGCTAGACAGACACGCGTGCCTTCAAGGTAGCACCAGTGGTGTGGGCTGAGGAGGCTGGGAGGACCTACCAGGTGGTTCTCATCCTGGAACGCGTAGTGTAGCGCCGTGATCCACTGGCAGTCGCCGTTCACCAACACGTCGCGCTCTTCTCTGAAACATGCAGTCTGTGGGGAAAGAGCAACAATTAGCTATGTGTGTGCACAGGAAAGTATCCTGTGGGGTGTGGTACTCAACACAGTGGCTCTCGTCTCTCCTGCAGCCAAACACCACGTCATTGCCACCCGTGGCCCCTGCAACAGCTAAGAAGCTGACGTCTTGGTTCTTTTCCTCTGTGACCGCTGAGAATGCACTTCTGTCCCAAGGGCCATGTCTTCAGCCCACATGTTAGGGTCATCCCATTCTCTTGTGGATTCAGCTGCTGCTTTCCCCCAGCTCCCCCTCCCCAGGTTGGCCTCCTCAAATGTCCAAGGATGTGTGCCACACCACAGCTGCCCTGTCCTGCGCCTGTGATCTGAAACGTGACTTATTCAGAGGAAAAAGGATGTCACTACATACACCAAAGGAAGGAAGCTGATGGGTAAAAGGCTGCCTGAAGAGTTAAGGACAGAGAGACAGGAATGAAGACAGAGTATGCACACCCTACAAGGCATGGGCACCACCACTAAGAAGCAATACAGTCCTGGCTTAATACACAAGCCACGGAAGAATTGGGACTCAAGGCCCCAGAGCCTGCTTTACTTGCTCTCTTATTTGAGTTTCCTGTAAATTTTTCTCTTCAAAATCTATGACACTTCCCTTTCAAAACAAACATGCACCTTAATGCTACTCATTATCACGTGACAAGGGGACAGCCAGCAGCAGCAGCCATCCAGATGTAGAGACACGAGCAGCTCAGCTTTGTGCTGATCTCCCCAGCCAGTGGTCACTGCCCTGGCCTAGGCAGGACGGGCTCAGACACCTGAGTGCTGGGAGCCTGGTCTCCTGCCCATCAGCCAACACACTATCCACAATGGAATGGGTACAGCAGGATCTCTGCTGCAGCCCAGGAGCCCCCGCTCTGCTATGTGCTTCTGCATGGGGCAGCTCTGTGCACCTGGCCTCTGCCCAGCAAGGTCAGGACAAACCCAGTCTTAAGCCGGGATGCCCTACATGGAGACTCACGGACAGGAAACGTACATATCATTCAGCAGTTTTCTTTTGTTCAAAAGTGGAGGGTTAGGTGTTCGGCTTTTTGAGACACGTCTCACTAGGCAACCTAGGCTAGCCTTGAACTTGTTGTCCTTTAGATGGTGGGATTACAGGTGTGTGCCACCATGCCTGGCTTCTAGTGTGTTTTAATGACCTAAGAAGATGAAATAACCCAGCCTGCTCTAAACGTTATGAACTTACACAGCTTAGTGGCTCTTCCACTGTCCAATCCACTTAATCTGTTCTTTTTTTTTTTTTGGTACCGCGTATCGAACTCAGGTGCTTGCGCTTGAGAGACAGGCCACCGAACTGCTGAGCTAAATCCCCAGCCCACCCACTTAATCTGTTCTTAAAGAAAACTTTTTAGATGTCAATACTGTAAAACAATGTTTAAAATAAGTCATAATAATTAAGAGAGAAATTACTACTAGCATTCTATATTGATACATATGTGAGATAGATCCATCAATTGAATGATCGATCACACAAATATCCCATTATACAAACTCTAGGGTCACCATAATGATTAGCAGACACCCTAGGCATCTTCTGAGGGAGTCAAAGAAGTCGGGTTTGTTACAGTAACCAAATGCAGATTGCAGCAGCCATGCTGTCTCTCTGCTGGGTGCACATGGACACCCTGCACCTCCTATGTTCTTGGAGCCCTGATTGCTTTTCTCCCCAGAGAGGAACAGCCTCAGTTGGCCTAATGCCCATGTGGGTGGGGAGGCCCGTGGCTGAAGCAGGTCAGGGGTAGCAGATGTGGTGATGGGAGTACGACAGAAGAAGACACTCAGTGCCTCTGGGAGGCCACAGGATTGGAGAGCTGAGTCAGAGTTAGGAGGCTACCAGGTGACTGTAAAATAATGGCAACTCAGCCAACCCACCCACTTCTTAGGCAATAAATGGGTGGAAGATGTGCCGGGTGCCACAACAGGAAAGAGGATTCTACCACAGAGAAGGAAGAGCAAGCCATCAGCGATTCAGATGTGAGCTGCAGGAATGGGGCAGGCTGGAGGGAAAAGCTGCCACATTCCCAGAAGCCTTGCACTCCGGAGACCTGGCTGAAGCCAAGGGTTTGTACTGTGATCTGGGGCGTGATGGATGCAGCAGGCCTGAGAGGACGAGGCAGGAATCACCAGGGAGGAAGGGATGTGGAAGGACAGAAACTGGGGCTGGGCAGGAATGAGACCAACGCTATGTGTGTGCTTCAGGGGCAGAGCCAACGAGAACTAAGAGCGCACCAAGACTGCATGCAGGGATGCCACGTCTATCAGGGCCTTTGCCAGAGCATGACTGACACCGACAAGCTCCAGGCTGCTGTTTGCCTCTCGGTAGCCAGAACCCTGTGGCACTGTGAATGTGGCTGACATGCAGGCAGCAGAGGCTGAGGGCCACTGCAGAGTGCCCACTGCCTGGCAGGGGAGCTGGGCTGGGGAGGCAGCTGCCCCTTCTTCACATATCCCGCTCCCACCTGCGTTATTGGTACCCCCACACTCACCTCTGCTCTCTTAAGCATCTCCCACTTATTGAGGATTTTCATTGCATAGATCCTCTCAGTGCTCTTCATTTTGACAACAGCTACCTGGAATACAAAGGTGAGCGTCACAAAATGTAGTTAGTGGGACAAAAGGCTAGAACATCTTCATGTAGTTACTGCAGAATCCTAAGTGCCAGGGAGCCATGGAAAACAAGCTCTTCAGGAAAGCAGACTTTTCCTGGTAAATGCAGATTTGTCTCTGTGAGCACAGGAACTTGACTTTAACTGCACTGACTCAACTCCAAGCTTTAGTGTCCCCCACTTGGATCATGGTGGAGATCTCATTGTCAACAAGCCAACGGCTCTTAGAATTTGCATGGCTCCTGAGCTCTGTTGCTGGCTGAGGGCCAGGCACATTCTGCCCAGGAAGCCATCTCCACCGCTTGCTCCCTGCCACCCTCATGCAGTCAGTGTCATAGAGGTGGCGAGCACTGTGTGGGCCCTGGAGTAACCTGGGCAAATTCACTGCTTCAGGCCTCAGTTTCCACAACTACAAAAGGGAACAAGCACAACACTGGCTCCTCGTGCTGGGAAGGCAGCCAAGTCACTGTGCGGCACACTCTGGGCAGAGCCAGGCACAGTTGGCTCGGCATGCAGGCTGCCGGCTGCCCTTCAGGTGCGACTCCAATGCCACCTCTGCCAGGAAGTCCTGTGGGCCTTTCGATCTGCCAAATGTTCCATAAGCTCTTCCTCCAGCACCAGCCCTGCTGCAATGGTGTACACAGCACAGCACTTCTACTCCACCCACATATATCCACTGGCCAAGTCCCACCACAACCCTGTAAGCTGGTTCCTGGGCCACGACACTGTGTGTGTCCTCTGCCGCCTGGGGCAGGCAGTTGGTGTGTCTCCTTGCACAGAAGTCATGGAACAAAGGGTGTTGACATCACGTTCCCTCCTTTTCCACCTTTCTAACCATTCCACACCATGCCACACACACCAAGGCCAGGGGCTTAGAGAGCTGGCATGGCTGAGCACTCTCCATGCCAGGACCCTGACAAGCAGTCACCTGTGTTCTCAGGTGAGCGCCAGCAACTCCGGAGAGTGTGCTTAATATCTGTACTGGAGAGCCATGGAGTCTGAGGCTGGGTGGGTTTAAACCACCCACCCAAGAAGTACAGTGTCTACACTATAATGATTTCAGACACAGCATCACTGTCCCTGGGCCACCTAGCCTGTAGAGGGTCCTGGCCAGCTCTACTGGTGAAGTTGTCCACTGGCCCACTCTTGGTTCCTGTGGTGGTTTGTCCTGTTTTCTTATAATTTGAATAAACTGAAAAGAAAATGTCTACACAAAGGCATGACAAGCTCCCCAAAATATAGAGTGAGAGCTTGGGGCACACATATCATTACTGAGAGGAGTTTCCTTGCCCTGGGAGTTGGTGGGGGACCACGAAAATGGGGTATAGTATTGTCGCTACAAAGCCACCCAGCGTCTACTGCAGGAATAGCCTAGCGTGGAAGCAAGGCCAGAGCTGACAATTTCTTGAGGAAAATGCTAACATCTGAGGACAACAAGCCTCAGGGATAATCCAGACCTCTGAGAACACAACCACAACACTCAGAGCTCTTGCTGGGGGCCTGGTTCTTTGCAAGAGGCCTATCGGGCACAGACTGCCAGAAAGCATGCAAAAGTGGCTGAGAAAACATGTACAAGGATGTGTCTTTCCAGAGCAAAACACTTGTTAACTCAAAAATACATCAGTGAAATGTAGAAGTAAAATTCAATGTTAGCAACAATAATACCTGCAATACTGAAAATCTTTCCCCACTGCAATATAACCTATAAACAATTTGTACAAAATCTTGTTTAATTTACCAGAAACAACTTCCTAACCTAAATAAACATCAATCTTAACTGCTGTTAAAAAAAAAAAAAAAAAGCTAGGGGTGGTGGCACACACCTGTAGTCCTAGCACTCAGGAGGCTGAGACATGAGGATCACCCCTAGTTTGAGGGCAGCCTGGGCTACAAAGTGAGTTCAAGGCCAGGCTAACATAGGGAGACCCTGTGTCAAAAATAAAAATTAAAAAAAAAAAATCTAAAATTTTCACCAAAACTAGACATTTCAGCAAAGAAATATAAATCAAAATCAATTCACAAAATGCTAAGTGATCCTAAGACATGAGGACAAAAATGAGTACTTGATTCTTGAGGGAAAAGGAAAACAAGAAACCTATTCTCTTTAAATATAAACAAATGAACTGGGGACATAGAGAAGACAGGCATGGTACAGTCAGTGGCAGAGTGCTTAGCGTTTCCAAGGCCCTGCCTGGGTGCCAGCTCCAGCACCATTAATAAAAAGTCCCTGAAGCAGAAGGGGTGAAGCTGCTTATTTCAGCATAGCCAGAGAAAGGGACAGAGGAGGACACAGGAGGACACAGGACAGCAGCAGCACAAATGATACCCAGGGACCTGGTGAGAGGGCAGGACTGGCCACCTCTGCATCACTCATGCTACTCACACAGCTGCTCTGCTCATCTGAAGTAGCTTCCAAATAAACCCTTGCAACTTTATAAAGTGGCTCCAGAGGCAAGAGATGACACAGCAGAGTGGCCAGGCTTCTGGGTCCAGGCCAACTCCACCTCTGGGCCTTGGCTCTTGCCCTGGCAGCAGCTCAGGTACACCGTATCACAGAGGCACCCTGGCTGTCCCCTGGATACAGAGGAGCAACAGGGACTTCTAATGCCACTGTGCTCCAGGAGAGGGCAACACCCCACACACCTGAGCATCCTTCCACTAATGAGCTGGATGGTGTCTCCACCCAGAGGGGCTTGGGTGTGCAGCACCACGTGTCCTGCCCTGTGTGCTGCACAACACACTGCCACACCAGGGTCATCCTGCAGGCAGCCACACTGGGTGCGAGCTTAGTGCAACCCTGGCACTCTCTTGGCACTGAGACTCCACTTGATAGTAAGTGGTGGTGGTGGTGGTGATGATGATGATGATGACAACATACCAGAAGAGAAGAGCTTGAAGGGCTCAACATAGGCAAATGAGGAGATGGAAGGGCTGGCTCACTGCCCCAGTTCAGTCAGCTGAGTCCACACACTGTACACATGCAGTGAGATGTCACTGTTCCCCATGAACATGTACCATTATTACACTGAAATTAAATACAACTCAGCTGTAACCACAAGTGAGGATACTTCTGCTCCCCGAACTGGCAGGTGTCACCTATGTCACTCACAGGTACCTCAGAGGCGGGGAAGCTGAAGTGGCCTATTTCAGGGACACTATGAGACGACAGCTCAGGAGGATGATGGGGGGGAGCATCAGCACGTGGTCCAAAGGCCCAGCCTACAGCAGGGGAGGCACAGGACAGCAAGCAGAAGGCCAGGCAGCAGGAGGGGCTGGCAAGGAGGCCACAGGGACCTGGGAGGACACCAGGGACAGGACAGTGCTAAAGTCACTGAGGATAACTGGGGAACACAGGGAGTGAGGTTCAGAGGTTGCAAAGCCTGCACAGAAAATGAAGACTGGGCAAGGCAGAAGCACTCCTCTTTACCTGGGAGGTCCAGACACCAACCAGGGTCACTGTCTTTGAAACTCACCAAAACTCAGTTTTGCATTACATTCTGTGTCAAAGAAAAACACTAAAAATAGCTATAAACCGTTCTGGCAAAACTATTTTCCCTTCTTTCATTTCTCCCAGCGATCATCACCTCCCGGCCTCCTTCTCCTGGCTGCCCCCTGGCCAGCACGCAGGGCGGCCTGGCCTCGCTGGCGCACTGTGCATTGGAGGGAAGTTGGTTTTCATTTTAGAGACTGTCTCCATCTTCTCACTCTATAACAAACTACAGCTTGATTCATCAAACAAGCTGCTTTCCCAGTTTTTCCTGTGGCTCTTTTAAATGAAAAGCTCCCTGCTAGCGGCACTCAAGAGTCGCGGCCTGGGTGGGCGGGTTATGTCAAAGAAGGGAACTTTTGTGGGCCCAAAACAAGGCAGACCTTGGGTACAGGTCACACAGGCAAAGACTGTCAAAACCCACTCAGATCTGTGTATTTTACATGGAATTATACTGCACTTGCTGTCCCAGCCTCACTACATAGTCCAGGCTAGTCTTAAGCTATGTAGCCCAGGCTGGCCTTGTTGCAGCAATCCTCCTGCCTCAGCCTCCTGAGTGCTGGGACTACAGGTTTGGACCACATGTCTGGCTCTCCCTGTAGTTTTTAGAAAGTGCCAGTCCATCTAACAATTTTCTGAACTTAATTATGTCTGTAAGAAACTAGTTTTGGTCTCAACGACATTCAGAGCAATTCTCCAGTCACAAGCTCTCACTCTGCCTTGTCTCTTTTGGAGTTTACCATCCAAGCCCCTGGGTGATACCAATGCAAGGAGGAAAAAGGCCTCTCCACCTTTTCACCTAGGCCGGTGAGCAGGGCGAGGTTTCCCTTACCTCTCCAAAAGCACCTCTTCCGATTACTTTGATTATTTCAAAGTCCTCTCGATGAAGTTGCATTTCCTTCACCAGCTGCGTAAACGGTTTAGCTGTTCACAGAAAATGTAAAATTAACAATTTAGTTCAATAAACTCATGCAATCCAAATACCTCATTGACTGAGACATACCCGCTAAGGTATACTTTTTTCAAAACTTTACTTTTTAAAATATTTAATAAAAGCTCCTGGAAGCATGATCACATGCTTTATCAGCAACTGTGCTCCACTGTCTACTGTAACAGATACCACCATTATAAACATTCCTAGTAAAACTCTTCACCTTCCTGGTTAAAGCCAAAGTTCACCCGCCAGGAGAGCAAACTCTTGGAAGCAGGTGAGTCACCTGATGTGAGCAGAGGTGCAGCAGCGCCGAGCTCCCCACATCTGTACTGCATCAGCCGCAGGGCAGCTGGGGAACACCAGGCACCCTCCACCCTCGGGGACAGCCAGGCTCCAAGGTGCTGTGGCGCCCCTGGCTCCCTCAGGGCCCTAGGCAGGCCACATGTAGTCTACTGATTAGGTACTTCATGCCACCAGGCCACTGGCCACATGCTCCTCACACCAACTCCTGGAGAGCAATTCAACCACCATCCACATGCCACAGGTGAGGACACCGAGCCAGGTTTCTATGCACGGTTTAGTGGGTTGCAGAGTGATTTTACTTCAAAACAAGGTCTTTACAGGGGACAGAGATTTAGCTTAGCGTAGCACTGCACCTGCCTCACAAGTGCAAGGTCCTGAGTTTATCTCGGTACCAGAAACAAAACAATAACAAAAAAAAAACAAGTTTTTTATAGATAACAATCAAGTTAAGATGCAGTCATGTAGTGAATCTGGGTGGGCTCTAAATCCAACTGGGGGGGATGACTGGGTACTGATGGGCCTTTACACTGAGCCACATACTCAGTTCTTTTCATCTTTTATTTCGAGACAGGTCCTCATTATTCATCAAAGACAGCTCAAACTTGGGATCCTCCTGTCTTAAGCTCCCAGAATAATGAGATTATAGGCATGTGACACCATACCCAGAAAGACTAGAATTTTTATAAAAAGAGAATTTGGACATAGAGGAGCAGGAAAAAAAAAAAAAAGTCATGTGAAGATGGCACAGAGGTTGAGAGGCAATCAGTCTCTGGCCAATTAATGTCAAAAACTCCCAGTAGAGAAGGGGGAGGAACCTTCCCCACATCCAAGGGGGAGCACAGCCTGCCCACACCTTGACTTTGGCCTGCTAGCCTCCAAGACCATAAAAGGGGAATTTGTCATGCCAAGCCCCACTCCAATCCCTGTGTGGTAACCTACAGGCAAAGGTCCCAGGGGACTCCTAAGGAGTCGGGAGGGGAGGTGATTTCTTCCCAGGACCACAGAGCAAGGGGCAGAGGCAGATGTGGCCTTGCACTCAGGTCACTGTTCCTGTCATTCCTGCTCTCACCCACAGGCTGCAAATGCCAGTCACCTCCTTTGTGAGTCTGTCTTTATTTTCACTTTCAGGCCCAAATCTGTATGTGTTAGGCTAACTTCTATTGTTCTACACAGCTCTTTTCAATCCTGCATTCCTAAAGTATTAGAAAATATTATTGCTGGGCAAAGGGGTGCAGAGTGTATCATCTCTTACCAGTGCTTCTGTATCGCCAATTACTGCCCCCAAATGTGCAATTTGACATTGTCTGGGCTTTCAATTGAGTTCCATATTATTAATCCAACTCTATCTTTTTCCTCTTTAAACAGTTGTTCAGGGGTTGGGATTTAGCTCAATGGTGACAAGGGCAGGGCCCTGGGTTCAGTCTTCAGCACCAGAAAATTAAAACGAAATCCAAAAACAGTTGCTCAGTTCTACCAGCAGGGTTGAGCACCATGCTCACTACCCCAGCACCAGCAGGAGGCACAGCAGAAGATCCCTGGGACCATCAGACAGGCACCCTCACTACAGGCCCTATCATAACCATGGGGCCCATGAGCACAGAGCTCAAGCAAAGAACACACAAGGCCAGACTATTTAAGCTTTTAATTCTTTATTTCTCTCAAGCATCACCAAAAATAACCATTCCCCAAATTCCTAAAGAAAATGTCTTTTAAATAGCCACTGAAGACAACCACCTCTGTTTTGGGGGAGTTCTTTTGTTCTGTGCTGTTCCAGTGACTGAACCCAGGGCCAGGCAAGCACTTTACGACCTGACCCCTTTTTATTCGGGAACAAGGTCTCACTAGACCTTCCAGGTTGGCTTCAAACTGGTGACCCCTGTGAGTAGCTGGGTTACAGATGTGTATCATCACATCCAGTTTCTTGGTATCATTTGGAAACCAAATGGTACCCTTCATGGTGGTGAAGTAAAGAGTCATAAGAAATCTGATTTATTCTAGTTTGTCACCAGAAGAAAGAGTTCAGGAAGAGAAGATGCCAACCCACCACCACACCATGAGCTACTTGGCACCACAGCACAGAAAAGTACACAGTGGAGGGGTGCAGAGGAGTACCCTGGACTCTTACCCTCTGCCTGCGAAACTCACAACCCCAACACCTACCCTGGCAGCTCACTGTCTGTGCCTTGAGGCCAGGGTACTCTGTTTCCAGCTGTGTGCCTGGCTGTGCTACCTACCCACTCACAGCATTTGCCATGGGTTGCAACCTGTTTGTTCACCGTGCTGGTTAGAAGCTGCTTCATTTTGGCTCTGTCAAACCTAACAGCTACAAATGTCACTGTTCTACACTGTGGCCACTTTTCATCTCATTATGCTAATGTTTCACTAGATAGAAAAATTACTTTTAATAAAATCGAGTTACTTCCTTTGTCATTTTATTAAGGTTTAGAAAGTTACCGCCCTTTGAAGAGCTGATATCAATCCTATTTTCTGCTAAATGCTTTTATAAATACTTAACCCTGCATGCCATCCACTGTTGAGAGTATTTTGGAGCGGGATGTGAATACGGACCTTAACTCCCAGTTTCAACCATCCATATGCATTCAAGTGGTTATGACACTTGGCCTAATTCTGTTTGTCCATTTCTACCTGGGCAAGAGGAGGCCACACCCAATGCCCAAGTGAGCTGCCTGCTCACAGTGCCATCTCAGTCACTTGTTCTCCTGTGACTAGACTTCCTCATCCATGATGGCAAAAGCTCCTTCTGGGGTCTCATGGTGATCAGAAGAAGCTAGATAGGACAAAGAAAGCAGCCTACACCAAGGCCATGACCTCTACACACCCGCTTTCATCTTGTCTTTTCACATTAATTGCCCCAAGGCTATCTGATCCTCCTGGTCAAGCTTTACTCCTACACTATGGACAAAACATTTTTGGTGCTTATGCTTTTTTTTGGGGGGGGTACCAGGGAATGAACTCAGGACCCTGTGCTTGTGAAGCATGCAGCAAAGCCACTAAGCTAAATTCCCGGCCCTGCTTATACATTTTTAACAGTCCTGCTCAAGTGTTCCTGAAATGGGTGGATATGGATTCCTCAGGGCTAGTCTGATAAACACAGAAAGTGAGGGAATAATCCCAGGAGGAAAGCTTGTCAAGATAACAAAACTACAAGGATCAAGTAGAAGGAAATCAGCAGAATGAAAGCTTACTTTCATAAAAGGCACTAACAAGAAGGGAAAGTCTAAGGGCAAACATTATTTGTCAAACACTTCCGGGGCTAGGTAGTAACAATATACCTGACTGTAAAAACTAAGACTGCTGTGGACCAGGGATTTAGCTCAGTGGTTCCGCCACCTGCTTTGCAAGCACAAGGGCCTGAGTTTGATCCCCAGTACAAAAAAAAAAAAAAAGACCAAAAAAACCCACTGTAAGAGGACAGGGACAGGATGTTATGGAGGAGAGGTGGAGGGGGAAATGAGTACAGGGCTTTTCAAACCAATCTTGGAATTTGGCTTTGAAAGAGCAGTATGTGGGGGCACCCACAGTCTACGGACAGTGCACCAAGGGCACCTGCAGCCATCAACAAGGGAACCACAGGGCTCAGGTGTGGTGTGAACCATGCTCATGAAGCGGAGAAAGCCAGCTGGGATGGTGGGAGATTGGCGCCACACGGGCAGGGCACTCATGCTCAGGGAGCTCACACAACATGGAAGGCAAGGGCTCTACACACAAGTGTGCAAAGCTGTCAGGAATCCATGTTCACTGGATATGAAAGAAAAGACTGCAGAACTTCGGAGGCTGAGGCAGGAGGATCACTTAGAGTTTGAGGCCAGCCTAGGCTACACAGTGAGTTCAAATCCATCCCTGAATGTAACTGTATACCTAAAATGTACCAATAAACTCAATGACAGGGGGAAAAAAATCCAGCCCTGAAATATATAGCAAGATTCTGTCTCAAAAGCAAAAACAAAACCCCCAAAATACAAGAAAGTACTTAGCAAATGCAGCAGAGCATTAAAGTTCTGGTGGTCACTGATTTGCTGACTACCACCTAATCAGGAGGCTCCAGAAATTCTCTAGTTAAAGAGTCTAGACCAGTGATGGATGGTGAGACTTTTAGAGCTTTCAATACAAATAGCCAGCTGTGGCAAGCATGCCATAGGTTCATCACCACTTCCCTAAAATGTCACAATCTATTAAACAAATGCTTTGGACATCTACTATGTGCCAGGAACAGTTCTAAGCGAGAAGGATAGGCCTGTGAGCAAATGGAAGTTCCTTCAAGGAGCTTGAATTTTAGTAAAAACAGAAAAGAAACAGCAAATAAAAGAACAAACGGATTACACAGAAAGCAGTGAGCCTGTGGACAAAGGGAAAGGTAGAACACTAGCCTGAGTCACCCTGGGGTAGGGAGAGAGGTAGGGGTTGAGAAAGGCAGACCTAGATGCACCAAAAAGGCACAGCACAGGATGATTTCCTGCCAGCCTGGCTGCACACAGGCACTGCCCAGCACACCCAGGCTGGTCAGGGAGTGGCCTCTTTCTGCTCTCTGGGTCCTGGGGTACTTGGGGTTCAAGGGCAGGAGTTAGCTGGTGCAATAGGCCTGGGTTTGGAGCAACAAAGAAGGACCAACAAGGTCAGCTTTGTCCTGGAAGGCAGCTGAGGACCCAGAGTCACCCACTGGGTTTCG